AGCGAGAGGGAGGGGGAGAGAGGAAGGGAGGGGGAGAGAGATCGGAAGGGAGGGAGGGAGAGAGAGAGACAGAGCGAGAGGGAGGGGGAGAGAGGAAGGGAGGGGGAGAGAGATCGGAAGGGAGGGAGGGAGAGAGAGAGACAGAGCGAGAGGGAGGGGGAGAGAGGAAGGGAGGGGGAGAGAGATCGGAAGGGAGGGAGGGAGAGAGAGAGACAGAGCGAGAGGGAGGGGGAGAGACAGAGGGAGGGGGAGAGACAGAGAGAGACAGAGAGATAATGGGGATGGACTAGAAGACCTCTAAGGTCCCTCCCAGCCCTGGGATTCAGTGTTCTAAGCCTGTTCGAAAGAAGCCACGGTCTCATTTGGCCCAAGCTCTCTCGTTAAACCAGCTCTAAGTCCACTGAGTAGCTCCGTCCCTTCGCCATCTGGAGCAGGGAAGGCCAAGCACCCCTGCCAGGCCTTTCCGGGGGCCCCAGGGTCTCCATGGGGGCTCGCATGGGGCAAAAATAAATAGAGGTTGCACAGCTGTGCCGGCAGATTGTGTCCTCTGCCTGCCGCCGCTGAGCGTTTTTCCTACCTCCCAGCCCTTTGAAGAACGAAGATCGCCGAAGGCTCCGGAGTTGGCGCTGCCCACAGGCCCCCAGTTTCCACATCTTCAATTAAGTGGCAATTTTTTTCCTGGTGCAAATGGCTTTGTCACTTGACATCTATTTTTTTCCTGTAGAGATGTTGAAAGCACATGAAAATTCTCTCTCTCCCTCTCTCTCTCTCTCCCTCTCTCTCTCCCTCTCTCTCTCTCTATCTCATTCTCTGTTTCTCTCTTTGCCTTTCTCCCTCCCTCCCTCTCTTTCTCTCTATTCTTGTCTCTTTCTCCTTTTCTCTCTCCCTCTTTCTCCCTCCCCCTCTCTTGTCTTCTCTCTCTCTGTCCCTCTCTCTTTCTTTCTCTCCCTCTATCTCTGTCTCCCCCCTCTCTCCATCCCTCTCTCTCTTTCGTTCTCTTGTCTCTCCTTTCTCCGTCTCTCCCTCTTTCTTTATCTCTTTCCCTGTCTCTCTCTTGTCTCTCTCTCTTTTCTCTCTGTCTTTCTCCCTCCCTCCCATCTCTCTTTTTCTCTCTCTCTTTCTCCCTCCCTCTCTTTCTCTCTCTTTTTGTCTCTTTTTCTTTCCCCCTCTCTCTCCTCCCCCCTCTCCTTTTCTCTCTCTTTTTCCCTCCTCCTCTCTCTTCTTCTCTCATTCTCCGTCCCTCTCTCGCACTTTCTTTCTTGTTCTCTCTCTGTCTTCCCCCCTCTCTCTCCATCCCTCTCTCTCTTTCGTTCTTTCTTTCTCTGTGTCTCTCTCTCCTCTCCCTCTCTTTCTTTATCTCTTTCTCTGTCTCTCTCTTGTCCCTCTTTGTCTTTCTCTCTCCCTCCCCACTCTTTTTCCTCTCTCTGTCTTTCTCCCTCCCCCCTCTCTTTCTCTCTCTCACTATTTCTCTCTCTCCTTCTCTCTGTCTCTCTTTCTGTCTCACTGTCTCTGTTTCTGTCTGTCTGTCTCTGTCTCTGTCTCTCTGTCTCTGTCTCTCTCTCTCTCTCTCTCTCTCTCTCTCTCTTGTGCTTTGTCCCTCCCTCTCTTTCTCCCCCTCTCTTTTTCCATGCCTCCATATGCATCTATCAAATATAGCAAATGCTCTAATACCTTCTACTCGCTATATGGATGGCAACAGGCTGGAGGAGGAGGAGGGGGTGGCATTTTTCTCTGAGCAGTGGTCCAAAGAGGAGGGGAGGGAGGCTTGTTCTGGATAAAACTGAGCCCAGGGTCATGGGGAAAAAAAATAACCCAACCAGGCCAGGATTTCTGAAGGAAAACCTGGCCTGAAATGTAATAGATCACTAGTGAAAGCGAGGCTTGGATTTTAAGATGGGTTGGGGCTGCTTCTGATAATTAAAACCCAAACTTATAGGATGGCCTTTCCCTTCCCCAGCCATATTTGACTCTGATGTTCAAATGCCTTGCCACTGTTGAATACTAGCGCGGGAAATNCCATGGAAAGAATACTGCAAAATCTCCATTCCCTCCCCACTCCAGGGAAAGGATACTGCAAAATCCCCATTCCCGCCCACTCCAGGGAAAGGATACCGCAAAATCCCCATTCCCGCCCACTCCAGGGGAAGGATACTGCAAAATCCCCATTCCCTCCCCACTCCAGGGAAAGGATACTGCAAAATCCCCATTCCCGCCCACTCCAGGGGAAGGATACTGCAAAATCCCCATTCCCTCCCACTCCAGGGAAAGGATACTGCAAAATCCCCATTCCCTCCTCATTCCAGGGAAAGGATACTGCAAAATCCCCATTTCCGCCCACTCCAGGGGAAGGATACTGCAAAATCTCCATTCCATCCCACTCCAGGGAAAGGATACTGCAAAATCTCCATTCCCTCTCCACTCCAGGGGAAGGATACTGCAAAATCCCCATTCCCTCCCCACTCCAGGGAAAGGATACTGCAAAATCTCCATTCCCACCGCACTCTGGGGCCAGGCAGAGGGGGTATTTGCTGGTTCTCTGAACTACTCAAAATTTCCGCTACCAGTTCTCCAGAACCTGTTCG